TATAGATGAACCTACAGAACTTACAACAAAGTATTTCAACATAAACATTATGAACAATGTGGCTAAGAGAGACCAAGAAGATGAGATGAATGAGACATATGCCACCTTGCACTACTTGCTTAATTCAAGGATGGTGAAAAGAATGAGGCAACTATTAACGACATACAAAGAAGGCATTCCAACTTTGCACATTGAGGACAAGGTCAATTTAAGGGGAATGGAGGTCATAGCCCACTTCATTTATCTTTTATTTTATCTAGTTGGGCTTGTATTATTAGTGGACTAGGCCAAAGCTATTTACTCTTAGGGTTGTTCTATATATGATTTTGTTGGAAGGCGATGAAGAGGAATTAAATCGTGTCTTGCTGCTGCTAACACTTCTCTATTCTTCTCCTTTCTTCTGTCTGCTACTGCATTTCTTCTTCTCTAGTATCTTCTTTTATGTTGTATTCTTCCTCTTCTTTTTCCTTATCTTCTGCTGTTGCTAATGTTCTTTCCTTCTCATTCTTAAATGTACTGTAATCCCTCCTCTCTTCCTTTTCTAAATCTGCTTCTCTTCTTTATTTCTATCAGTTCTGAATCCGAATCCTTCTTCTATTCTATGAATCTGTCTCCATGTCTATCTCTATTCTGGTTAAAGAATCTCTTTCTAGTTGCTCTAGAACAATTAGGAGATTTTCTAGAAGAAAAACGGGGTTTTGCTTCTGGCTGCTGATATATCTCTTCTCTTTTATATTTGTCGTTTACTTGTCCTGCATTGTAACAGAATCATCAAGTAAGGAAATGAATGTGTTGGTTTATGTTCCTCAATTGGAGTAATTACAATTTATATTCTGCATCTTGAGTTTATAGTTGCTTGTTATTGGTTGACTTCTTTAGAAATTGAACTTCAACCATAACAATATTTACCTAATACATGTATAAATATGATAATTTCAAGAAAATTCCCAACTTGGATGCATTTGGATGTAATTGATATGAAAAATGTAACAATGGAGTTAAATTGGAGTTGATTTGGAGCAAATGATGATCAATTAAGTTACAATTGACCAATCGGAATACAGGTGGGAGTAATCAAAAGTTATTCACAACTTTTGAGAGCTAAATCTGATGTTTGAAAAGTTTGAGAATGTGATTGCACACTCTTGGAACTTGTATCGGATCGATTTTGAATGATTGATGAATGTTTCGGACGAATTTCCAATGAATTATAGCTAAAGAACGAAGATTCAAAGAAGAAATGATGCAGATTGAACAAAAGATGAAATTTGGGACCAAATTGATACAAACGAAACATTGAGGAAGCAATTGCAAACCCCCATTGCAAGTAAGATTTTCCAGATACATACCCTGAAGTCTTTATACTGTGTGATCGTAGTCCCTATATTCCTGCGATTGCACAATTTGGTCATGGATAAATTATTATCTTTACTTTGTCAATCGAACTTT